GCAGCGGGCTTTTACAGTGGTATCAACTTTGTAACCAGAAATATAGCTAATTCGGAACGCACCCCAAGTTAGTTACAGTGGTACCAACTTTGTAACCAGAAGTATAGCTAATTCGGAACGGACCCAGTAATAGTGTCTAGGGACATTCTCTGTCAGTGCTTTTCACAGATTTTAGTGATGGAGACGTCCGCCTTGAATCTGGTGAGACCTGTTTTCTTCGTGTAATATATTTTTGTATTGTTTGTATAATATATTTTTATATCGCGTGTCAGTTACTGTACAAGTTGAGTAACAAATAATGATTGTTTATGATATCTCTCAGGAGAGTAATCGATACATTGTATTTCCTTGAGCCAGAAATGAAATGTACCAGCAACGAAACACTTTAATATACATGTTATCTTAATGAATAAACAATGAGGAAATTTATTAGCAACTGTTTCTACGTATTTTACTTATGTGCTGAATCAATCGATCAATAAGTCTGACTCGTGAGCTCGATTCAAGGCGCATGAGAAGCAAAGGAGAGCAGAAGCGTTGTTGCGAGAGGGAAAGTTCGAGGAGGCGGCCAAGTGTCACGAAGCTGTGGCTGATCTGCTAGCGGAGGCCCATGCGCAGCTCGAGTCCAGTCTCATCCATGTGCACGCGTCTACTTTGTCTCCCCAGGACACGTCAAAATTTTTGACACCGATCCACTCGCTCGTCACGTTGGAGTCCCTCAATCTACAACGAGACTATCACAAGAGACAGGCAGCTGTTGTCAGGTACGTCACGTGCGTGTAATATTTTTATCTTGCATGTTAGTCGTCTTACATTGCAACTGCAAATGTGTATAACTTTTTATTATCGTGTGAAACTATTCGTCGCTAGAATGAAGCAAGCGCAATACGAGGAATACAAGACGACGTTAGAAAATCATCAGAAAAACCTTCTCAATAAGCATGCAGCTAGGTACAGTGAAAGAGATAATTGCGCGGACGCAAGAAACGACAAGTTCGACGGTTCGTTACGCCAAGCCATATACAAGACTATCGACGAGCAAGATAATCTTCTGAGTCTGATAGATATCAAGCTACCTACCGCCGAGGAAAAGAGTTTCAAACATCCGAAGGACACAGGTACCGTTATAGAAGAGCTCAGAACCGTTAACAGCCAGTTGCGGTCGCTTGTAGGGAGCTTACTCAGCCAGCTAGAGGCGAAGGAGGAAGAAGTGCGTCAGCTGACGGAGCGTCTCTATGCGGTGTCTGTCAATTCGAATGATGATATCAGATCGGAACAACATTCTCTGTGTCTTGATCCTTTACCTCCGTTGACACCTCTGGAAATGCCACTTTTCGACTTTACATCTTCGTAATCCACAAGTTTTCTATATCTAAGGTACCCTTCGGAGATGTTCGCGAGAAAACTTTAAAGTGAAATTGATATTAAACAATTATGACTAGTGCTAAAAATACATCGTATTTTTAAATGCTAAATATTAATGTATTGAGGTGTATGCAGTTGTAAATTTTATATAAACGGTATACAACAAAATGTGTATTTTTGTTATAAATTTTGATGTCGAAGGTGCTCAATATATATATTTTTGGGGGAGCCCTTTAATCTATGCTGAAGATTTGTGTGAAGGTTCGGCTGTACATTGAATTAACTGTATGGAAAATTAATGCTTCTGAAAACTAACAGTATGATCGTTTGCACGTGGATCAACGTGGATCAAGTGCCCCGTACACGGACGATCCACTGAAGAGAAACGCAAAGATTCCAAGAAAATTTAGCCTTGGTATTTAGTGTACGTGAAGCATAAAATAACTTTTCTTAACAATCAGACGAAATTAAAAGATCATTTTAGCATTAAAAACCGAGATACTTTAGAATGCGTACATTGTAAGCAGCTTATATTCGCTGAAAACAATAATACGCAAAATTTAAAGACACATGTACAATTGTGTACTAGTCGTAGGTATAAAAAAATAGAAAAACAACTTACAATTGACAACCTTTTGAAATAAATCTTATAAACATAGTAATACAAGAATAGAATTAAGTGATACCAAACGTGCGAACAACTAAAAAATACTTGACCATTATGTAAATTATATACATAATGAACAATAAGAAAACAATATTTTTAAACATACAGACAAGAGGAAACCGGCAGGTAATAATGTTTCCTCGTATATGTCATTTATTAATAAATATGACGAATAACAATTTAGTATTGTGAGTGTGTCATTTAGTATTGTAAGTACCCGGGGAAAAAGATGTTTATATTACGTTTTATCTAACTATGTCTAACCACATCTGATTTGACGTAATTATAAATGGCAATTTTATATCTGACATTTTTGATATAATTCGATAAAATTGGATATATGACTTTCCCCCGGTATTTATCACATATACGAAAACTTGATTATGGAATCGTCATCGCTGTTCACGGCTGCGTAGCAGGTTTGGTCACTTTCGCAACATGTAATAAGCGGAAGATTCCTCAGATCGTGAGCGGTCGACTTGTAAATAGAAGAGTTTTAAGCAGCTGTTTGGCTGTTGGTCTTGAGATTGTAATCCTCTGTGATCCATTATTGCGTGAATAAAGCTTGAATTGAGTTCCAAAACGTTGCAATTATTCCGTGTGAATGCAAGAGTGCCGCGGGAAATTAATTGATTCTATATTCTTAAAAATTCTTATGTTGACCTGAATATTCTAACTTTAAGACAAATTCCAATAGAGATATGTGTATGTAATACCTTCGATAATCTCTCCGTCAAATGACTTTGGATAAAAGTGTCACGTCGATAACTTAAATTGCCTAATCAGACATCTTGAACTTCGTAATCTTTCTAATTTCAAGTGGCAGGGCTTTCCCACAATTCAAGCTGATAATGTATCGAACGATACTCACTGGTCTTACCCCCCGCGAAGCTACATATCAAGTAGAAAGAGAGTCACATAGACAAATGCTATCTTCGAGATCGTATCGCGATCTGTCGTCGCTCAAAACGAGAAGTGTATCTTTGTTAATGCTTTTTTTTCTTAAGCTTCTTTTCTTAAGAGCCTCCCGTAATGAGGTCCAAGTAAGTTTTGCTCAGTGCTCCTGAATAAGTATTTTGTCGAGTTCTTTTTCTTTTTTATTGCAGAATCTTTGATCTCTCGCGAAATTAAATGAGATCACTTCTTGACTCGGAGCGTAAAGAGCAGACTTTGCGTCTAGGAAGTATCGCGAACTTTTGTAAACAGATACCAACTCCGGCTTCGTTATAAGATAAATTAAATCGTTAAAAGTGGTCTTATATATTGTGTGTGTGTCATCGTATTTTCTGAATATCTCGAGGCACACGTACGACATACACGTAAGACGTTTAATGATATTTATTGAAGATATTAAGCCAGCGTTGCCATATAGTAACGTTGTGTTGAACACACGATAATTATCGCTGACTGGATAAAAACCTTCCGCGGGACTACTTTCCACGGGAGTATTTTTCCACGTTTAACAGTTACATGTGTTACACGTTATTATTAATATAATTACTAATACTATAAATGTTTGGAAATGTTAAGTCGCCAGTAATCAAAGAAAAATAGTCAAGAGTTAAAACGACTTTTGCTGACAAGTAAATTTTATTTTAATAAATATTAAAATACTCTAGTATTAGTATTTATATACTAACTATAGTTTATTTAATTAATTAATTACAACAATTAATTAATTACTACACTAGTATTTTAATATTTATTAAAATAAAAATTACTTGCCAGCAAAAGTCGTTTTAACTTTTGACTATTTTACTAATACTATGTTTATAAAATTGGTAGTCTCCAAAATGCGTGAGAACTTAATAAGCTTTTAATAAAATCTTTCAAATAAGAGATAAAATGTCCTTTTGCTACAATTAAATTTATCAAATTAATAAATTTTTATATGTATTATTCAAACAGAACTACAATTAGCTGTAAGGAACTAATAGAGACCGATCGATTTATTTGGGTTTTTAATTCAATATATTACTGGCACATCTTGAAAGTCCTACGAGATCAATTCTTTCTTATCAAGTCACACCTTTCCGACCGATACCGTACGGCGCAGCGTACACACAAGTTTCTTATCGGAATTAAACCAGGAATTAATCGCGCATCACGATCACACGTGTGCTAGCGTACTTACTTCCAACGGCACGTGATTGTCACGTGAATCTCAGTCGTACGCCTCGCGCTTATCCGTGACGTCCAAGAATTTTAATAGTCTATAAAAACTTAAGGATGTACTGGTGCTAACATTCTAACATTGACAATAACCTGAAACTTTAATAGATTGTTTCTATTTATTATCTGTACACGTGTGCAAAACCTGAAGCCGATTCTCTAACCGGTTCATGAGTTATTCCACTTTTAATTTTGCATGAGTTCTTATGGAGAAGCAGCATATTCCTACTTATATAAACGAAATTAAATGGAAACAGCATTGCCAATATTCTGAAACTTTGTTTGTGAGTAAATAAAATAGTGAGCAACGTTTCTAAAAAAAATTGCTAACGATTCACTAACTCTTTATCGAGTTAAAAATATAAATAAAATAAATAATAAATAATATAAATGATATAAATAATATAAATAATATAAATTAAATATTGCTAATATATGCAACATTTTTTCGTTCCTTACAGTTGATTTCAGGTGAAATTCACGTCCAAAAGTTTTTTGTTGATAATCACAAAATTTGCAAACTGTGCAAATATATTCATTTGTAGTGCTAAATATCACATTAACTGGCATTATTTAAATCCTTTACATGATACGAGCACATAAAAGCATAGAATTTCATCAATTTCAAATTGAAGTCACTTTTGTCTGGGATTGTATAGGTAATACATCCTTAATACTGCAACGTAATTTTACGTCTTTCAAGGTTCCAGTAAATTTCAAAAAGTAATTAATGCTAAAAAGCAATTTATTGTGAAATAAAGTCTGGACAGTTAATGTAAATAAGAAGGAATGATGTTAAACGTGAATTAAAAATCGGTGGTGTACAAAAATGAAAATTTCTTTAATAGAACATGTTTGGCGGACATTATCTTCCATACTTAATTGTAATGGCCTACCAAACATGTTCTATTAAAGAAATTTTCATTTTTGTACACCACCGATTTTTAATTCACGTTTAACATCATTCCTTCTTATTGAAACACCCTTTATAAACGTGGTTAATATCGCGAAAGGACTGAAATTCTCCAATCGTGTTATTTTCAACATTCTCGTTTGAAATTCTTTTTTTCATGTTACGTATTTTCATGGCGTTTTTACGACCATTCTTTGAGTACAAATTGTACTTTAAGATAAAACTATATTGTTTTCGTTCAGCGGAAACTCTTTAAAGTCTTCTATAGTAGCACTTTGGGTTTCAGAAGTGATTTGAGTTAAATATGTTACGATTCGACAAGAGTATTCATTACGTTTATTTTTCGGTCAACACATTTAAGTGCTAGGTATTGGGAATCGGACTCGATTGCGTGAAAATTAGCACTAACGAAAATAGTAAAGATAATAGATTTTATTCTTGTCCCGAAAGATAGTGCATTTTGTAAACTTCACAGTGAGTATCTGATTTCAGAATGTTCGTAAAAGCTGGATAATTTATCTTAAAATCGAATGGAACGAGTTTTTTTAATTTCCCGTACTTTGCGTTTTATACGCGATTCTAGATTCTAGTTCGTTTACTTGGAAGAAGAGAGAGGATGGTTCTTGACCAGAGGTTAATATTTTCTTAATTTGGTACTTGAGGTATTTCAGTTGAAACCGGATACCTCCTCTTTTGGATCTTAGGGAAAATGGTAGGAGGAGACTTGTGGCTATTCTCTGAGAGAGAAATAGATGGAGATTCCGTTTGCGCTACGCTCCTCGGCAGCGACTAGAAAGGGAGAGATGGAGATTCTGATCATGTCACGCTTCTCCGACCAGAGAAGGATAGGATCGCGAAGGGAGTCGTATTAATATATGAAAATTTTGGCAGTGTTTTACCTTCTATTTGTGTCTTTCAAGTTACAAGATCGGTGTGGCGATCGTGGCGCAGAGGATTGTGCGCTGGTCTGGTAACCCGAAGACCCGGGTTCAAAACCAAACAAAAACGTTGCTGGTTTTTCGTTCGATCGTCACATAGCGAAATGGATATAGAGAGAGGTGTTATAAGAGGTTTGGGCACGTTCCTTCAAAAACGCCTTGTAACCCTAAGGGGAATCAATAAAATGTACTAGTACTAGTACTAATAATGCTAGTCGCAGTTACAAAATTTATTAAATTGATTATACAATAGATTACAATTCATCGCACAATTTATTTTATTTAAGTTACAAGATCGTTGTTAATTTCTAAGTCTGGATAGAACAAGAATTTTGTGTGAGAAGTCCGATGTCAGAAGCATGAAGTAAGAGTAAGGAGACGTATACATGTATTTGATTTCGTAAAAAAAAAAAATCTTTTGTCTGGTAACAAGAAAGTTTTACAATTTTTTTAAATTTGTGTGGGTGGGGGTATGTTGCAAAATTAAAAAGTTTAAGGTATTTACAAACACTCACTAGTATACATATTTTTTATGCGAATAGATGACAGATGTATAATAAATTATTAATCATTAATTAAGTAATAACTATTTATTAATTATAAGTGTTAATACGGTGCTACAAGGTTTTCTATTATTTGCCAAATTTATTAATCTACGATTGCACATATGTTTAAACAATTTTATATTACGTAAAGAATTATTTAACGCCAGTAATTGATTATCCAATGTAGAAAATTGCATGACGACCCACGGCTAGCAAATTCAAATTAAAGAAATTCATTGCGAAATATATTACCTTAGTATATGTATATACATATACCGAGGCATATGCCTCGGTGCAGTGGTGGTCGAATTGGTTGAGACGCCCGCCTAGAGTGTACGGAGGTCCGGGTTCAAACCCTGGCTAAAGTAATATTTTTTGCAATGAATTTCTTTAATTAGAATTTGCCAGCCATGGGTCGTCATGCAATTTTATATTAATTATATACTATGTCTTTTGTGCATAAATTAGTAGCACTTCATGTAAATGTATTGTAAGTTCCTCATTATTATGCACTCTTTTATAATTATTTTTTTTCATATATTCATATTTAACTGCATCCTTGAATTGATCCACTAGATCTTGCGGCATATCTTGGAGAAAGTGCGTGATGGATAACAGCGTACCTTTTAAATATCATACATGTCACACACAAGTTTAAAATTAACGTATAGAGGATTACAAAAATGTTGATATTTTTAACATAGTTAACATAATTTTAATAAAAAGTGATATAAATAAATTAGTTAACGAATTAATAATTCCTTAAAGTAAAATTATTTTTTGCATATTTTCAATGTGACTTACCTAGGAACAGTCCAGAGTTTTCTTCAAAATCGATTTCATACCGATGACTGCAATGATGAACAGTAAATCCTACACTTTGAAGTAATTCTTTGAATCCTTTACGGGTACGATTGAATTCTTGATACATTAAAATGTTTTTTATCTCCTCCTACATAAACAAAAAATAACAATTAATAATTTATAGTGCCAATGTTACAAAGCAGCAAAATAAGTAAAAAATAATTATATAACATAAAATACAAATCAACTATTAATATATGTAATTTAAAATATAATTACCGGTATATATTGCGCAAAGCGGATGTCTCGTACCAACCTCTGAATAATTTCAAAATAATTCTGAGCTACTACTATTTGCAAAAGTGTGAATCCATTGGGTTGTAGCATTTGATAAATGTTTGTAACAGCTTGTCTGTTAGATACATCAAATAAAGACAATTAATTTTAAAAACTGTATATAATAAATACTGTATAAATATATTAGTTTAAAATACTTATTAAAATTCTTTAGAATCGTACGATTTTTGCTATCATATAAATATACGATAAATTCATATTTTATATTTGTTACTTGTTTTCCAAATTCTGACATTATATTATTATGTTAGAGAAATTTCATGAAATATTATGATCAACAACACGACGTTAAAATGTAAAATAAAATTGTGCATGTAAATTTATTTAATTGATCTATTCTAAAATTGTTGCACACTAATGTGCTATTTGTTTTATAGAAAAGAATGTGCACTTGGTTAAAAAGTTTAATGACGAAGCTTGTTTACCGAAAAAGTTGAAACACATTTTATCGTAAATATTTTACATAATATTTGCTTACCGAATGTCACTACACCAGTGAAGACTTCGAAATGAAAATATATGATCAAATTCAGAAATATATTTTTTAGGTAAACTTTTCGTTTCAGCATTCAGTATCTCGTAATGGAGCCGTTTTTCAACTTTATTTTTTTCATTCGCATATTTGACTATGTGCTCCGAAATATCCACGCCTTCATAAAACCGCAATCGTGCAATTAAATAATTACTTATGCCTCAATTATAATAGTAATTTGCCATATTTCTACATGTTATTATTCTTTTACCAATTATGTGTGCACTTGAGCCAAGAGACGGCAACAAAATATCTTTTGTTATATTTCCGGGACCGCAACCAAGGTCCATACACTTTCCAGTTACGTTCATTAACTCTTCACTATACTCTTCAATTACAGATGATACATTACGCTTTTGTACGTTGCTACCTTCGTTATAGATTCTTGGATTCTCCATGGCTTTCTCAACCTCAGCACTGTGGCTTTAAAAGCAATTTGTTACGATATTACTAAATCAATTTACTTATACTCCGCAGTCAGGCGAGGTGACGTCAGTGGTGCAAATTCCGCTACTTTTCCCCTCTCCGACCACAGCGTGCTGCAAAAGAAGCGGAGTTTGCATCACTGTATCCACCCCGCGGCAAGGAGTTCTTTTTTTTCAATATCAATCTTACAACGGGGCCTCGTGTATCAGTCGCCGCAGTTAGTGCGACATTACTGTACAAAATTTCCGTCGACGTAATCTTAAATGCGTATCTTTGCGCGCAAGCTTCTTGAAATTTCTCAAGCTTCCGTGCGCGATGAAGAAAACAATTCATAAATTATCGATAAGATATTACTTTTCTCTTTTTTTAAACATTTTCAGCGACCCCCACCCACCCCAAACACCGGACGTGTTCTCTTTAATCTCGCGGATCTTCGTTTTTATCAATGTGGAATTTCCACTCGACGAAAGCCACCCAGGAAGCTCGTGGCTCGTAATTGCGACCTTGCAGTCAAGCCTCTGAATTAAAACTCTGCCTGCAGCGATATTCGGAAATCGGAGCGCACGACTGTACCATCTATTTTCTCCCCTTGTCTATTTCGACACGTTTGGCACATATCTGAGACTACGATGCAGAATTTTGTAACATCCTAGATAAACCGAAAGAAGAGCAAAAATCACGTTACAACAGAGTGGCAGATTAATTGAACTTCGCCTAGAAGATAACAACGAGATTTGAAAAACAGACATATACAGTCATGGTCAGAAAGGTTGTCCGACGATTTACACAATAAGTTTTCGGAATATTCGTATGTATCGTTCCACAGATATTCGTGCATATCATTTCTTCGCTCCAATGATGTGTCGCTGCTCATATATCCGTGAGCGAAAGCTATAATCTCTCGCATGATAGACTGTCTGTCTGAAATTCATCGTACAACGTCGGACAACCTTTCTGGCCACGACTGTACGTCTTATTTACAAAGGCGTGAAAATGGAATAAACTGGAAAAGTCAGATACCGTGGGACTTCAGAGGCTTACATGTCGCACCTACGTTATATCTATCGCGATATTTCGCAATTGCAGGTATGCAGTATCTGCAGACACTGGCTTTTAACGCGATCGCAAAAAGATACGGTTTGTTATCGGGCTCGTTTGATATATTTAGATTCTGATACACGCGCATCTACTCGACTCGTTCTTAATGAACATCGGTGGAAAATTTTCTACTATTGCACGACGCTCTCGTCAGGCCGCGATTGATTTACGCCGCCTGAGATTTGATTATCTGAATGACATTTGGCAAATGAAATTATATTAAGAGATAGGGAACTTATCCCGCGCACGATCTACCGATTTGCCTCGGCAATTCGGCAGCGTTATATAATATTAATCGTTTCACTAATGAAGTAGGTGGAGCGAGCTTCCTGTTTTTCGAGAACCGCGCGATTCATTTTGTCATTTTAATTTGCAAACGTATCTTCGAATCTTGAATCTCCTGGGCCGGTCATAGTCAGATCGTAGTCTAACTATTGTAGTAGGTCCGCTCTATTGTGTGTTTCGTTTTGCGTTGATCCTTTCTGCGCATCCGACATTGTTCTGGGCAGACCAATAAGAGAACAATTGTATGTGCGGTAGTGTGGCTTTGCACACACACATACATCGCTGGATCCTGCCCGAGTGCATGGCGGGATACCACGTGATCGAGACCGCAAAGATCAAAGAGACCGACAAAGAGTGGATCTACTATATGTATATACCTATTATGGTTTTTACGCCTAAAATAATACCAGGATAAGTTGCGGACCGCATAGCATAACGTTTTTATACTTGAAACACTCGGGTCTTGTATTCAAGTTAACTTTTGATACTCCGTAGCCAATGAATGTTCTATACAGCATCTTTGGATGAATTCAAGGCGGTCTTGAATATAAGATCTGAGTGTTTATCATCCCAGTCAGAAATGACTTGAAAACCGACGTCGAAACACTATCGAATCGATGTCGGTTTTCGAGTCATTTCTGACTGGGATGGAAATGTTCGGAATGGATTCCGATCGGAGAATTATTCCGCGTTCCCTTAAATACACGATAGAAATCTGGGAAATAATTGAACAATTCCGATTGCAATTAATTGTGAACATTTCCACGATAGGTAGCCTCACTATAATTGCCGCCCAGATAGCCAAGTCTGCCAGAATAGATTTCGTCAAATGCCCACCACAAATTTTGAAGACCGAAAGGCTGCAGATTGCACGCAGGAACTGATACATTCGACACGTTGCCGGCGCGTCAGCATCAGAAATACAATAAAATCTGCTCACACAACTGGACCTGTTCGATTTCTGCCGACAATCTGTTGACAGCGTATGCCTTACGGACTCTGTTGACAAAACAAAAGCCAAATGCGGACACAGATGGCCTCTGGTTTTGGCTTCTGATAAATCTGCTGCCGATCCGCTAACATTTTGCCGACTCGGCGATCCTATATTTTAAATGCGTGCGTAAGATCGAAAAGGTACGCGATAAAAGTATACAACAAAATTACGAAATTTCTCCCCTATTTTTTTTCTCAATTATTCTTTGTGTCGTTGCAGCGCGTCTGGTTAGGTAGCGATAAGTCGACGACCGATGCGGATGCGATACGGAGCGACGCACACGGTTTGTTTATTGTTACAAACCGCGTCTCCCGGCATTATCTCTTCGCGACGACTTTACGTCAAGCCGTTAACGTATAGTTAACGCACTATAGCGTCAATTTTGCTGATCGTGCAGCAAGTACGACGATGTATGTTACATAGTCCATAGTTCCGTGCCGCCGCGGGCTCTTTGCCCGCGAATATGCGTCAGCGCTGCGCACGGGGCTTATCAGTTCTGCTTAAAAGTTGATAAGGACCCTCGAGACACGCGCGCCCCGCGAGTATCGCACAAACCTCTCCTTGTCCGCCCGCGGGGGGCGGAGGGCGGGGGGGGGGGAGGGTGGGACAAAAACCTTCCCCCCACCCTGCCGGCGGAGACAGCAATAATTGTCGTGTGAATGACGCGTGAGATCCCTTATCGCGGCGACGGGTGACGTTGTATTTATCGTATAAATTACCGGGCCCGGCGCGACTCGAGCATCAGTACTGGTTCTCACCTCTGCGCGGCCAAATGAGGCACAAATAAGAGCGTAGCGCGGCACAACGGCTCTTGATATCCCACGAAAGCTATCAAGTTGCATTTCAACGATCTAGTCAATACTCGCAGTATATATCTTACCGCACAGACACAAGGTAAGGTCTATTTCATCTCGCAGCTAATTTTGGAGCCTCAACCAATCTGTACGCGGAGAGAGAACTGTCTCGTAAAATTCGTCCTGAAAATCACGGGACATTTCGAAGAATTTTGTGAGTTTTTTGAAATTTTACCAGTAAAATGTATGGTGAAGTTTCGAAAGCTCTCGTGCAGTTCTTCGAAATGTCGTGTTGTCCCGCGATTACATGATGTTCAGGACGAATTTTGAGAGAAAATTCTCTCCGTGCAGAAACGTCGACTTTGCAAGGAACATAGAGTATTCTTTTAACAAACGTTCATTGTGAAAATCATAGAACTTGTTTTGTTAGACCCTCATTGAATATAGCCGCTTGCTTCAAATATCCCGCGAGACAAAGAAAACGTTGCTCCTTTTATATTCGCTCAGGTGGCAGGAAAGAACACTCAAACGTTTCTTTGCCTCTTTGTCTCTTTCTTGTAATGGATGTTTGAATCCTCTTTCCAAAAGATTTCCAGCAATTCGCAAGAATATTGAATTGCTTCAAATATCATTGAAAACAGAGTATTGAGAATCCTAAAAGTCTCAAAAGTTTTAGAAAACTTTCTTTCACCTGAAAATCTCAATGGGTTTACGTTCGTGAATAAAACCGAGTAAATTAAAATAACGCTGCGAACTGTGAAAGAAGAAGAATATTTCAAAAACGTTTAAAACTTTTAAGATTGTTAACACGTTCAAGACTTTCGTAACTTTCAGGCGTTTTCGAGTCGCTTCAGCTTCGAAAAATATTATTCAAGATTTTCGTACTTGCGACGATTCAGCGTTTTCTTATTTCGGACACGTCGCTATCCTCATTGCGCTCACGAACTAATGCACCGCAGAAAACTTCCCAACAAAGAATCATTTATATCAGTGAAATTATTCCTTATTTTCTCTTCTGCAAACATTTGTCCTCTCTTTGACGCAGCATGTTATCTGTATTATTCGTCGTATTAAAAAAAATGCGCCTAACGAGACGATTTATTCACAGATGCTGGTTGGTGGTGCCGTTAGCTACGTCGCTGGAAGGCAGGCGGTTCGCACGGTTTACTGGCGAACCGCGAACAACGGCCGTCTTCTGAAGACAGCGAAAACCTGCATGTTCCAAGGACCGCCTAAGCCCGCGCGATCGTCAACCGCAGCTTCTTCGGCGCAGTCACGCATGGACCTGATTCCCAAAGCTATTTGAAAACCGCGGAAATGCCCGCATACCAATACCAAAAGTTACGCACGGCACACTGTACATAAGATACTGTTAACTATTTAATCTCAAAACCATATTTATGAAATGTTACGACGACGCAATAAAGCGACTATTATTTATTTCTTACAATAAACAATCGCTGTCTTCAGTTCTGTCCACACAGGCGCGCGCACACACATGCACTATATATTTATACTTTAAATACACTTCTAGTTATAGTTTCGGAAGATTATAAGGTGATGCACAACTCGCGCTAATTTTAATGACAGATCCTTTGACAAATTTGAAATCAATGTTTCTTCAGCAGCGGTTTCAATAACTTCCTAGTTGGCAATTGATAAAGAAAGGCTTCCGACGGATTTTCCTGTGGAAGAACAAATCGACGAGAGGCCAAGAGTGTCTCTTGAATTTCACATAATCTCGATCGAATACATTTTTTTAATTTCTGCTTTCGCTACAATGGTGTACGTTGTGTATTAGAAAGTTGCAATGACGACGATTTTTCTCGACGGATAAAAATTAGTTCGCGTTGGTCGGTCTTTAGAATTAGATTTGTCTTGTCTAGGGGTTTGAACTGCTGTCGAAAATGCGATCGAGGGGGGGGGGGGAAGCGAGACAGGGATGACAGATCGTAGAACAATGAAACCGGGAAGAGAAGCAAAAATAGTATCCGCCGAAAGACTAGCTCCACGTCGATATGGCATTGAGACAATATCACGTCGGCAGTGGTAGCAAGAGGGTAAAAGTTACGCCGGCGCAGTAGGGTGTTTATTGATTTTGGAAGCAAAGCTGCCCCATACAGCCCGACATCGATTCGACCGCGAAGGAGAACCGAGCACCGGTTTGACAGTCGATATAATTGGCGAGTTCAATCCGCGGAGGCTCGGCGAAAAGAGTGGAACGGCTGCTCGACGCGGTGGAACCGGGTCCTGTCCGTTGCGCAAATGTAACGGGGGTTGCGCGCTCCATCCGCTGGCTGGGAGCTGAGATACGCACGGTCGAGGGCGAGCGCTTAGGTGTTCGGCGCGTAAGCGAGAATCGGAATCATGCAGAACTATGGACACGAGGATTACGACTACGGTGTGTCGCAGGACGCCCAGTCGTCGGGCAGAGTCCTCCCCCAGATGCCGGGCGCCGTCAGGCCGATGGTGGACCCGCAGGCCGAGGGTGAGGTCGATCCCAGCATGTACCCCCAGGCGAAGGAGGCCACGCACAAGATTCGCGGTAAGAGCGACATCCTCGAGTACCTCTTCGGCGCCGTCGACCAGGAGCTCCTCACCGTCAAGACCTTCTACTTTTTCTTCTACTCGGCCTTCGGCTCCCTCTTCCCGCTTATGGGGGTGTACTTCAAGCAGATGGGCATGAACGCGGGTCAATGCGGCCTTCTTATCGGTCTCAGGCCGTTCATCGAGTTCCTGAGCGCTCCTTTCTGGGGCTCCCTGGCCGACAGGTGAGGCCGCGTTTCCTTCCTACCACGTATACGTACGTCCTTAAATCGCCACCGAAAGATCGTAGACGCTGGACTATGACACTAGGATGCGTTATCTCGCAGAAAAGATAATAGTGGAGATTGTTTTGCGATAATTCAGATTGAAGATAAGTGCGAGCTAAGAAAGTTGTTTTGTCAACTTGAGGTCGTTTTTAAGAATTTAACGTCCGCAGGCCGATGTTTGTCACGCGTGAACTTTGCTCTATACGCAACAGATGTGGATAAATTGTAAATCTTTTATATATTTTGTCATGCGATAAAGAGTTAAAAAACTTATATAAAACAGCAGATCAGCGCGAGATAATAAAATTTCGCTCAAACGACGGCTAATGCTGTTATCTCTCCGACGATACGTATGTGTATGTTTTTAGTTAAAAAGTATTTGTTTACTAAAGTCATTTTTAATAAAGCCAGCGATACCTGCTGAAAGTTAAAAAATTTTTATAATTGACACTTCCAAAAAATAAATTCGATTCCTCGACTGATAAAAAAACAATGTATGCGATGATGAAAAACAATATTTGTAGAATTAGACTTTCCTCCGTAAACAAAAACTTACGAAATCCGTGAGGGTTTTCACGCGTCGAGCAAGTGTTCTTATCACTCGGCTATCCAGATCGTAATAAGGCCAGGGACACGCGGAAAAACTGAAGCTGTAAGCAGCAAGCCACTTGACCGGCGACTTCTTTCGATTCTTTCTTGAAAATATTCACACTCAAAGATGAAGAAAGCTGAAACAGCGAGTGAACTTTTATATTTCTTTTCACTTGTTCCTAGATGGCAAAAAGGCAAACTCCTTCTATTGGCTTCCCTTTCTTGCTGGATCATCTTCACTCTACCGTTGGGCTTCGTTCAGCCTCCGCCCACCTCGTGCATGGTCAGAATAAATGATTCCCTTTATCTCGAGGCGTCCAACGGGGAACAAAGAATTGTGAAAAGATCGACCGACCTGGATGAATTGTATTACCCCGAGAATAAAGAGGAGTATCTGGAGGTCGCGTCCAACGTCGTCTTCGAAAGATTACGGCGAAGTACGGACGACAACGAGATACTCGATTACATGAAGAAACCGAGGGAATTTAGTGTATTCGGATCTTACGATATTGAGGGAAACGGTGTTAGAGACTTCGATGACGGCGGTTCTACTGTGTACGATCTGAAAAATAATAGAGTCAGGAGACAGACATCCGTCACAGATAAGGGCGATGTAGGAGATCTTGGATACACGTCGCTGTCCGAAAGCAATATTGACGATGCAACGGGGATCGATTTCGAAATGTTGCAAAAGCAAAATCGTCCAGCCGATGTGTCGGAGTACAAACGATTCATGAAGGTACAAGCATTTAATATACGACAGTAATAAAGCGCGTACATATCTGAATTCGCTATCAGATTCTACCAGCAAAAATTGCGCAGTCCACTAAAAAAAAGTTATGATTGATTTAATTATAAAATTTCCGATATTTCCTAGCTTGTATTCTTGTTGAATATTACATAAATTGTACGTACATTAATAAAATGTGTTCGTTTTGTAGAATGAGCCGATCGATGACAGAACAGTCCCGAAGAAGGCTTACGTTCGCACCAAAACGCGCGTGAAGCCACCACCGGAGAAGATAATGGTAAAACGAGACGCGAATAGGAGACAAGCGTTCTCGGATGAGGATGACATGATCAAAATCGACGACAATGATGAGGAAAGCGAAAGAAATATGGATGTAACGTTGACGAGGAGTCGCAGGAGCATAAGAATGTTCCACGGCTCCAAATCTGCTCAGTTGTCACCTATGTCGGTTGTTTATGCCGCGAATTACAACGAGAAAGAGAACAAGGAATGGGTGAAGCCGCTTTTCAGTTCCATAGTCTATAGATTGCCGGTAAGTCACAAGCCCGGTCGATTTTATTGTGCAGTCCTTGAGAAACGACGAAATTTGCATCTGTAAAATAAAGACATGGGTATAATTATTTAATGTAGTAAGAAAAAAGATTTTTGCAGACAGAAAAATAATGATTTAATTGACTGAATGTGATTTTAGGATATTCAAAAAACTTTCTTCCTTCTGCTATTGTTGGTAGTAGTCGGTGAATTTTTTTCGGCACCTGCCATAACGTTAGCCGACTCAGCTGTTATCACTTTACTCGGTGAAGACGCTGATAGGTAATACAATCAGTTTTACCATTGAAGAACAATGAGGCAATTTTACCTCCTCGTTTACTTTCGAGAAGCTAATTTCAAATTTGAAAAACTAAAAACTTATCTCAAATAAACTCGTCCAATTGCTCGTCCAACTCTAAGACTTTATATATGGTGATTATAAAGTTGATAAATTTCAACCACCAGATATGGCCATCAACGCATGTTTGGAAGTCTCGGATGGGGCTTGGCCATGTTCTTCGTTGGAATTGCTCTCGATCATAGCACCGCGTTTCCGGATCATCCCTGCAGGCCCGAAGAGAGAGAGAAAAATTACACCATTTGTTTTGCAATATTCAGCGTCTTAATGGGTGCGGCGTTGATAACAGCAACGCAAATTAATTTCAAGTATGAGGTTGCTCCCGCTGAGCCGGTAAGTCCATTTCGGTATCCATGATAAAGTACTGCTATTTCAAAATTGTAATAACAAAAAAACCAGCATCGAAACGTAGTTTTCGTAGATATTTCTCCATGTATGGCAGGCTTTGTAAACTTTCTTCTTTTACAATCAGAATTTTTAAGCGAGTAATCGCTAAAAAAAAGAGTTTTAAATCTCTGTGGGTTTTTGTGAAGTTTTATTAATTATATTTCACATGTAGGAAGTGGCGAAGCCTCCAGCCGAGCCAACGCGGGAGGAGCAACTGCAAAGTCAGTTATCTCAGCAACTTAATCTGCCTGGGCTTCAGGATTCTTCCGCCGCTGTAGATCCTAAGCCTCCGCCTCCCGAAGGGAAGGTCTGTATCTATTTTTTTATCAAGACGTTTATAAATAAAAAGCTCTTATTGCGTTTATGTTACACTTATTAATAAACCAAGTGAAACAGAGGTGAAAACGATATGCTTTTCCAGTTTATCTGTTTATCGATCGCGTGTGTGTGTGTGTGTGTATTTGCTCTATTATGTAAAGAAATCTTATAAACTATTAGCATCACGAGTAACCTCACGCTTTAATGATTTCCTGATCTTAGACCAAGATGTTCGCCCAAACGTTGAAGGAAATACCGGAGTGGGTGACGGTGTTGAAGCAATTCAAGGATGTAAAATGCGCATCGTTCCTTTTCGTTGCGTGGTTCATGGGATTTGGCATCGGGTTGATCTTCACTTTCCTATTCTGGCATCTTCAGGATTACGGTGGTTCGCCGACCCTCTTCGGCGTTGCGTCTGTGATCAATCACATTTCCGAGATCTTCGCGTATTTCTTCAGCTTCAAACTTATTCGACAGATGGGGCACGTCAAGGTAAGCAAACTATTAATTATGGCTAATTAAATGTCAATTAAAAACTACACACTTTGGAACTATGATTTTTTTACAGATTAGAAAAACTTTTCTTAAAGGACGTTTATTAATCGTGACACTTATTTAATATATTTTTCACGTATTTATTAATTTTGCATCTGCAGCTTGCTGCGATATCAGTTTCGTACAACAAGAAATGAGAAAAAAGTACACCGAACGCCTCTCTTATCTTCCACCCTCTGTTGATAATTAAAACGCGTATTTCAGGTACTGTGTCTGGGCCTGGGCGGAAATGTGCTCCGTTTCCTTTACATATCTTGGCTGAAAAATCCATGGTGGGTACTACCCTTCGAATTCATTCAGGGCATCACGCACGCGGCAGTGTGGGCGGCATGCTGCAGTTACATCGCTCATAATACGCCGCCGCAGTTGCGTTCGAGCGCGCAGGGTGTTCTTCAGGGATTCCATCATGGCCTCGGAAGAGGCTGCGGTGCGGTAATTGGCGGCATGTTCGTCGCAGCTTACGGTAAGCCGTTAATTAACATTCAATGTCTCGAGCTGAAATAATATACAGCTCGTTGCAAATATATTGATTTGGGCTCCAAGCGGCCTCAGACTTGCGTGTGGCCTTTTCACACATTGTTCAAGCATCTGTAAAATGTCTATCACACAATAATGGCGTATCAATTTATAACAATGTTCGTCGTACAGCGATTGTTGAGCGCCGATATATATTTGCGTAGGTACAACTGCGACTTTCCGAGCGTACGGTCTCATCTGCCTCATTGTCCTAGCCGTCTTCGTGTTCATCAATTTCTACAGAAAGGATACCGGCTTCGTATCCGAGCTGCCACAGACGGAAGACCCGCATCAGGTGGCCGAGGCTACCCATTTGGCACCGCATGGTGTACCGAGCAACGCTATACCACGTGCCCTGAGTTCCACCCGCTTGCACGAACTGGCTAATCAAGATGCTGGCTACGGGGCGACTTATCAAACCGCTGGTGGAAATCTCGCTGTACCCGGTGCTAATGGAGGTGAGAAGTTATTCCAGTGAGAAAGGCAAAAATCTCTTTTTCCATGAGCGAAGCGAGTGGTACCATCGCCTCTAGACCGATTACTTTGAACTTGACTGTTTCTATTGCTTTGTCGTCTAATTCCTTAATTTGTTACCAACTCGCAGGCCCTGGCAACCCAACGAACCCATTCTTAAACGGCGGAGGTGGCGGCGATGGTGGATATAATTATGGTATGACTGGCAAAGGGGAGGACGAGTATATTCGTAGGAGCTTCCAGGTTCAGTAATACCATTCTCATTAAAACGTCCGGCAAAGAGGGGACGCAATATTTCACTCGGGATAAGAGAAAAAAAAAGTAATAGACAAACAAACAGACAAAATGAAACACGGAGGGGAGACGCTGTCGGCTTTATTGCTCGCATCTTCCACGAGAGGCCACACACTCGCTGAACAAGAAATCCTATTTATACTTTGCTATGAGAACAAATTAATATAATCCCAACGGTATTGCGTTACGTCGTGAAAATTGCTGACATGTACTTTCCCTGTTTGATAGATCTACAGTGAAGTGGTTGGTAGGGAATTCGATGTCGTAAAACCAACTATCCAACTACACGCCCAACAACCATGCACCAATCCCTTTCATCAACACGACTACGACTGGTAACGACTCGATCTGTCGATGCCGCGGGTTGTTCCCCACGACTGCGATATACCGAAATGTGAACGCTCGAGAAGACATTATTGAACAAATAGTAGACGTAAATATAAATATCCATACAGATAGGTACGTATGCGTGCATAGGAGTCCACGTGCAAAGCCACCCGTAGTACATATAATAAGATTAAATGAACTTTGCAACTCGGGTGATTGTACTTGAAGTCTTTAACTTTAGGGCGTCAAGTTTTTCCGCGGCCGGTACGTCGTGGATCTCTAATATTTTGAGGCGCGAACGTTAACGGCGATCTTTTGTAATTGAAATAATCGTTGGTGCGGGCCGCGAGAAAATTGACCTCGAATTTGACCAAAGAAATGTATCGTTCAGGACTCACGCGCCTTCCTACCTACGTATACGTGCGTGCGTTGCACGTGGAGACGTGACACGCGTACGTGCGTGCGTGCATATGGACGTGCGTGCGGTCGCCTTTACGCCGCCGTTGTACGGTATGTGTCGAGATGTACGATGTGATAAAATGTCCGCGGACGAGCGAAAAGGGAGAAGTGAACCGACGCTGCTGACACCCCGTTCGGTAGGTTTACGAAAATCTTGACGACAGCCTTATCGCCGTCCCCCTCTGACTTGCTCGTCCCGCGATCCATTTCTTTCTTTCAGTATACTGTTCGCTGCTTCCTTCTGACTCTCTAAATGGACGTTCACGAGTCTAGGGTATCAGGGAATTAGTGGTAAGACTAAATCCAAATTAATCGAAAGTGCCTATCGAAAGTTTCCTGATGCCCTGCGCGACTTCTGTTTCTGCCCGATGGTTCTTTTTACCTTCCCGTATGTACGATTAAGAAGGAAAAGTGACTTGTCAGTCTGTCGAATTTACTAGTTCGGACTAGTCGTTTTGGACGTGAGAACCGTGTTAAGCGCCACGAGGCGACGTGCTCTCTTATCAGGCTCGCAAATATTTATTTCTCAAAATACGCAGAATATCGTTCCATATATGTATAGTTACTAAATATTAAAGGATATATAGGTATCAGAGAAATGTCATAGAGGTTTTTAGCGCGCTGTTAATTTTTTCTAGATTTTTATCGTGTTTGAGTCCTCAAAGGATTATCGATTCTTCATTAAGCCGTACTTTTAACGACGTTTGTACAAAGGCAGAAGCAAGTTATTTATATTGTGTTACCATATAATTGTTTTATCATATGTGTTATAGATTTATAAGTACGTTGTGTTTCGCAGAAAGACATGCAAGTAGCAATTGGTGTTTGCACTACAGCGAAATAGCTACGACGCACTCACTTTGAAAGAAACCATTCAAATGCACCTAAAAAAAAGAAGAAAAACGGTGGTAGTCGTTAAGAAAATGTAACATACACGATTTAACGGATCGTGAGGTTTCATCTAGGCGAGACGTATCCAAATCGGGACGGAAACCGAGAGTAGAAAATGAATATACAAGAAAACTAGGAGGCCTGCAAGGTTTGATACGACAAATATAAGTATCGTAACGGATCCATTGATCTCGTCGGTGATAGTTTAAAGAAGTACGTGTACGAACTAAATTAATTAAAGAGATAACTTGTGTGTCACCTGTAAATACTCTACACGCTCTTAGGCATAGACTCTACTGTTCACACTTGTTTTCTGTTTTCAAACAGATTGTTGATCGTTATTTACAATCCACGTTACGACTATCCGCATTAACTTCTTCTTAGGATCTGTATTAAACGAGCTCTATCTATTAAATACTTTTATCGTATGTATAAGGTATATGTTGTGACAATTGTATAATACTGTTGAAAAAGGAAAACGAAAAAATTGGTAGTAAAATATATATACATATAAAGATTGTAGCAGCACGATTTTATCTACTACCGCGGCAAGGGAATACGAGAATCGCCTTCTACTTCATGCGCGCTTTCGCCGTGCGGCTTGCTATTAATCGAGGCACAAGACAGATAGAAGTATGCAATTGTATCTCTACTCTTCTAACTCAAATATTCCGGGAATACCTCTGCAAAAGAATTATACGTATACCACATACGTAGAGTACTTCGCAAACCGTACATTAATCGACAATGAAGTTTCGACTAACGGGGAGAATGTCGTTGACAATTTTGGCAATCCTATTTTTTTTTGCGAGTCTCCAGAAACTCGCCCTCATTTGAGAGAACGAACTCGCCATCTTCTCGATGAAGTACGATTTGTGAGATACCGGGAGGAGCGTAAAACGCCATAGGTGATATTTCTTGTGTCGGTAATCCATACACATCGATGTTTTGTGGACAGCCAGATTATACGATGTTACAAAGACTGAAATAAAATGTCTTACGCACGTAGTAACCGATTCAAGAAGACACTATGGACACGCGTGTGCGTATTTGTATTATAAATTATATATAGTCGCAACTATATACATATATATAGTATATATATATAATGTAATGTACGATGAATATTTGATTGTGTACTTACGTATCGTGTATGTTAGCAGTAACGTTACTCTATATATACATACATATATTATATAATTAGATTCGTACCATGAAAATAATAGAATATAATCGTAGTTAATCTGCTATTACACTTCTGGATGGTGTCGCTAGTTCACATGTGCGCGTTAAAGCGGTCTCTCGTGACAGATTTATTATTTATTATTCGTACGTTTAACGCAAGTTACGTTGTCGAGTCATGTTGGTATCTTGGACACCTATCCGATTAGACTTCACGGACCGTTTCTTCATTGGATTGTCGTAGTGGTACTTGGTTCTGTATGCTTTAAACTCAGTATTTCTCGAAGATCAAAGTACCCCACCCCGCAATTTATCTGAAGATATTGAGTATATAAACGATATGAAGTATATAAAGATATAAAGTAAGTAAACGATGCTGTTGTGGCGCAGAGATCTTCTAACACGATGTCGAAGTCAGTTTTACTGTCCTCGTAGGGATCGTGTGAGAAGTCTGTATAAAGATAGGAATGTAAGTATTATTGTAATCTCTTTTCTCGGGGAACAGCAAAAAAAAGACAGACAAACTCTCAAGAGGGAGAGAAGAGAATTCATGAACGTAGGGAGTGCGTGAAGGTGTATATGTAACGACATATCATGAAACATCGTGCGTAGTATTAGTGTAGCAAACGTCATGTGCTTACGATTAAGAACAGTTTCACTTGCACTTAGAACCGATTTTTATTCTACCCGTCGGCCATTATATTTTTCATTAATCTTCCCCTTCGATTCGTCGATTGATCCTGAAGTGTTTCACAAGTTACTCGCGCCCCCCGAGCGATGAATAATTAACGATTCGAGACGTATAGATATTCAAGCTGCTCGTCGCTATTTAAGAAAGTATCGGTGAGAGAAAATTAATTTAATGTGCGTCGACGATTAATTTCGATTCCACGAGACTTTTTTTGGAGGAAGAACGGCGTGTATGTGTGAAATATCAATTTGCGAAACGTGTCGGTCTTTGCTTTCGCTTCATTTTGTAATACTTGTGCGATTGTGCGAAGCTCTCGTCATCTATCCCCAGTGAAAAATGATTCGTCGAAACAATGCCGATTCAGCATCGTTTCGGCATCGATTGACGGGTCATTTCTCGCTAGGTCGCGATTCAATTTCGAGCTTTTGAAGATTATCTCTTCCTTAAATTTTAGATTAGTTAAATATACATTTGCGCAATTGTCACACACGTGCATACATACACACACGTACACATATGACGCAAGTAACAATATCTGTGTGCAATATCTGTCTCTAAATTTTTCTGATATGCTGCATATTATACTGAAATTTGAATAAACGGTGTATCAGGTTGTATCAGGACTCCTGAAACGTCTTAGGTCAAAATAATATTCGCCTATCACGATTTAATGACAATTCAACAATAATTAATTGTCTGCATATAATGGCTCTTCCTCCTCATCTTCTTCTCTTTTAAGTCCCGGTCTACAATCAAACGATCCCTAATCGTGTTCCTCGGGGACTAGCTCGCCGGTCGCGGTGGCAGGGTTCGAGATATTGAATAAAATATTCTTTACAATAGAAATATTTGAGTCCTGAAATCTACTGTCATATAATAAAATTGCATGATCTACAAGACTCGAAATGATATTACATTTGTACAGGGCTGGGAAGTGACGCGTTACTTGTAACGCCGTTACCATTTTCGTTTTTTTTTTTTCGGTAACGATCGTTACTTCTTATGTCTGTAACGGTAACGGTAACGTCGTTACATTTTTACAGTAACGGCAACGAATTCAGCCGTTACTTTTATCGTTACTTCAGTTCCCTATTACCTTTTATATCTGTTCAATAGATTGTGTGCTGGTCGCGCGCACCATTCTTGATTGGACAAAAATATTCCGATATTGGGCACTGGAAGTCAATGTCACATGAGAATGCGCTGTAAGCATTTATCAATAGGTTTGTTTTCTGTTCCTGGTGAACTAGTGCAGTAAGCTGGAATGAGAGAAAATATGCTTGTCTTACTAAAATTTATTGCCCTAGTTCACTAGTGTAGGAAGAGAAAATAAGCCTATTGTCTCGATTCTGGGGCCCCGATTATTGAATTTATTTGAAGAAGGAACGTATACGAAAATTCTGCTCTGACAGAAAAGTTGAAAGTCGATTGGTAAGAGCCATGCGTATATCCAATCAACTTCCCAGGGAGAAACGTGAAGTCGAATAGACGTATAATAGATGTCTATTCGATACGTCTAAAGTAGATCGAATTTCGCATCTAAATAGATGTCGATTTGACTCTTTTTAGACGCGTTTAATAGACGTCTTATAGACACGTCTACAAAACGTCTTGTGTAAACGGACAGGCTCCTGCTTACTGGATAGGGAATCACCACGCAGTTAGAAGTGACGCGGAGATATAAGATATGATCGTTTTTATTAAGATACTATTAAGGTGATGCTGGAGTCTCTCTGTTTTACCGATATTTTTTAATTAGGGATATCTTTTAATTGGCTTT